ATAAGATTATTAATTGAATAAACCACTAGTTTTAGAGATTGCAAAACGTGTTTGGGGCCAGGAAAAAAGAGGGAAAAAAGGAAAAAAAAAAGAAGAAAAAAGTTATAGAAAAAGGAGTTTGGAGCAATTTGACTATAAAATGGTCAGTTTTTGGCTATTTGTAATGAATTTTATGTCAAAATGAAGCTAGGAGCAAGCCGGAGGACTTTGTCTTAAGAAACAAGACTAGTTTTCTTGGCAAAATTTGAGTAAACTCAAATTGTAGTTATTTAACGAAGAATTATTTAATTTAATTAGAAAATTGGTATAGAGCTATAAAACTTGGTAGCTATATGTAAATGGGGTATAGAACAATAAAATTTAATAAAAAAATATATTAAAAAGAGTAGTTTTAAGAAAATTTAAGTTTTGTTTTAGCAAAATTTTGGTACAAGTGATCGTTAAGAAGAGTTAGTAAATCAGATCCAATTTATATTTAAATTAAATTCGATTAAACTCAAATTAATCTATTTTATTAGCTAAATTAAATTGATTATTTTAATTTAAATTGATACTGTTTGATTTTGATTAATTAAAATTGAATTAAGCTGAAGTTTAGTGATTTATATCAAATTTATTAAAATATTTACTATTTTATATTTAACTTAAATTTGATTAAACTTCAAATTTATTAAAAATTTACTATATCATATTTATATTAAATTCAATTAAATCTAATTTTTTTGTCTAAATTGAATTAATTTATTTTATATAAAGTTAAATAGATCAAATATTAAAATAATTTAACTTAATTAAATAAATTCAGATTAATTCGAATTTATTTAAATAAATTTGATTTATTATTATGAATACTTAAATAATTTAAATTGTTTCAATATTGTTTAATTATATTTTAAATATAATATATTTCATTTTAAATAAATTTATTTATATGATTTAAATTATTTAGTCAATTCAATTTAATTCAAATTATTTCAAATTTTTTTAATTAATTTATCTTATTTTGAATTCATTTTATTCAAATTAACTTTATTCAACTTTATTCAATCTCATTTATATTATTAAAAAATATATTTATTTACTAGGAAAAAATTCTGCAAGAAGAAGTATATAAAACTAAAAAGGTATCTAAAGAAAGAAGAACTAAAAATATAAATAATCTTTTAGCTAAAGAATATCAATCACTAACAAAAAATGACACAATTATAAATAATTTGAATAGCTTGTTTTTTTTAAAAATTTTCTTTTTTAATTTTGTATTTTTTTTTTTAAACAATAAAAATATTAATTAAAAGTAATAGTTATATATTATAAAACTTATAAATCAATTTTTGCTAATATATTAAAGTCCTTACTATTTATTTTATATTTTCTTACTATACAATATTTATTATCAATATCTTTATACTATTTGATAACAGTATCTGGATTATATTGTGTCTTCAAATTGCTATATTTAGCACTTTTCAAATACTATTCAAATGCTAAGTTATCATTCTAAAATACTATTTAAATATATTATTATCAACTATAGTAGACCTTAGCTTATTATTTATATTGTCCAAGCCCAAGAGATCTCCAAAGCTAAAGTGAAAGATTTAGTTAATAATTGCAACTTGCTACTAAAAATTAGTTCTAGCCTAGTATAAAAAAAAAGAATACAAAGATTTCTAGAATAAAATTAAAAAGAAATAAAATTAAAAATTATAAAACAAGTTAAGGCAATGCAAATTAATGAAATAGTAAAAGCAAAAGGTCTAGAAAAATATGAAAACATCTGAAAATAGATTTGTATTGAAAAAAAACTTGGTAAAGTTAAACAAACATTGATAATCTACATATTTATATAGTAAAAATTTTTTAACTTACTATATTTTAAAATTTTATTAATAAAACTTACATTATGCTTATAATCAATTTTATAGCCCATAGTTTGTACTAGCTTTGTAATTAAAAAAGATTCAGTAAAAATTAGCTTTGTAAAAAAGATCTAGGCAATAAATACAAAATCTATACTTTTTGTTGTCTTTTAATATTTGTTTAAAATAGAGAAAAATAAAATGCCTATTAAATAGAAATTTTCTCTTTAACTTTAGGCAAAGATATCTTGATAACAATCTGCCCAAATTTGATAAAACTTTTTTTCTTTCAATTCTGTGTATTCATAAAATTTAAATAAAAAAAATTCATTGCATTTAGTCAAGTAGGTGTCACTCAAAGTTAGAAAGAAAATTTAGCATAGATATACATCTTGAGTTTTTATTTAAGTGAAGATATCTCGACAACTACTTGATTAAATGCAGTAAAATTTTTTTTATTTGAATTCTATGAATCCATAGAATTCAAATAAAAAAAGGTTTATCGAATTTTATTAAATAATTATCGAGATATCTTCGCTCAAAGTTAGAAAGAAAATTTAGCATAGCTTCTATTTTGATAGATGTTTTAATTTTTCCATAAGATATCTCGATAACCATTTGACTAAATTTGATAAAATTTTTATTTGAATTCTATGAATCCATAAGATTCAAATAAAAAAAATTTTATCGCATTCGGTCAGATGGTTATCGAGATATCTTCGCTCAAAGTTAGAAAGAAATTTGGCGCAGCTTCTATTTTGAAGGCGTTTTGATTTTTCTCTAATTTTGAGCGAAGCTATCTCAACAGCCACACGGCTAAATTCGATGAATTTTTTTTTTATTTGAATTCTATGAATCCATAGAATTCAAATCGAAAAGGTTTTATCAGATTCACGTAGGTAGATGTCAAGATATATTCGCTCAAAGTTCCTAAATTTTTTATTTTTACCGGGATCTGCATATCGATCAGTATCAAAAAAGTATATCAAAAACGTAAGTTTTGCTACTGGGTAGTTTATAAATGTAACACAGATCACGTGGGAGAAATTTTGATGGCGATACCGGATAGTCATTTTTGAGCAACGAACGTTATACTACGCAAAAAAAGTAAACTGTAGTTTATTTAATTAAACAGTTTTTATACCAAAATAATTAAATTTATTATAAAAAAAATATAATAATGTTCTATGTGTTTAATGATATTCTGTGTTTCAAGCGGCAGAATTGCGCTCCATCATAACGCACTCACGACGGGCAAGACTGCCTCCCGGATACGAACCCAGGGCCCATTGCTACATTATGTAGCCTATGAGGCACCCACGCCTTACCCGTTAATCCACGCAGTATATCATAAAAAATTTTTTTATTTTAATCTATAAAACTATTATTGGTACTAATCTAATTGGCTGAATTGGTTGATCTTATTCAAATGACTTTTGCGATATTGATATAGCATATCAAACAAACAAAATTTGATTGGACATTTTTTCTTAAAATCTTAACGTTAACGGTTCAACTTTTTTTAAAATTTTATTATAGAAATTATTGAAAAAAACTGATTTATAGTTGGAACAAACTTGAATCTGAGAGAGGAAAAGCTTTAGCAGACGTGCAAGAATACTGCGATGATCTCTTTGAAACCGGCGATAATGATCTTGGTTCAGAATGAGAAAGCTTTAGCAGTTGAACTTTGTAAGAATACTGCGATGACTTCTTTGAATTCCCGTAATAATGATGGAACAGAATGAGAAAAAGCGTCAGCAATTACGCCCTGTAAGAATATTGTGTTAACTTCTTTGGATCCTGGCGATAATGATCTTGGATCAGAATAAGGAAAAGCGTTAACAGTTGCAGTCTGCAAGAATACTGCGATGACTTTCAATGTAGAATTGTTGCAAGATTCCACCGAGTCTTTACATTACCGTACCATTACTTCCTCAGGAGGCTAAAGTTGAATGGCAAGTTTTGCTCATGATGAAAATAAACCGCAAAAATTATAATGACGATTTGGAAGAAGGTTCAGGGATTTTAAATTCTGAACCTATTACATGGGAAGGTTATTGAGTCAGAATGAAGAAAAGCATTAGCAGTTACATTCAGCAAGAATACTGCAATGACTTCTTTAGATCCCGGGGTGATAATGATCTTGGATCAGAATGAAGAAAAGCGTTAGCAGTTACACTCAGCAAGAATACTGCGGGGTGATAATGATTTTGGATCAGAATGAGGAAAAACGTTAGCAGTTACACTCAGCAAGAATACTGCAATGACTTCTTTAGATCCCGGGGTGATAATGATCTTGGATCAGAATGAGGAAAGCGTTAGTAGTTACACTCAACAAGAATACTGCAATGACTTCTTTGGATCATGGTTTACCCATAAATGTTGCATATTTATGGAATTTAAACGTTCAAATGATGGAAATTATTAGATACTTAATCATGTTACAGATTCACGGAAAGTTTACAGAAAAATAAGGAAATATTCGATTCGAATAAAATTTTTATAGGGTATGGCTTCCGATAATATAAGCTAAACGCTGCGCTAATACTACACTTATATAGTTTAAGATATATTAGCCTTGTAGCTAATTATATTGTATAATCATTGTAAGTATAATAATTTTAGTATCGGTATGATTTTTTTTATTTTTTTTTCATAAATAAAAATTGGAAATGAAGACTTAAGAATATTAATCAACTGAATTTTCATTAATTATCAAAATTGGCAGATACGAACGACTCAGATGAAATGTACTGGCTTGGTTACCGTTACAAAATGGAATTGGTGTTGAAATGAATGAAAATAAAACATTCGTTCGTTATCAACAATCAGCAGACGTGAAAAATTTTAACGGAATGTATTAAGCTTGTTATCGGTATTATTCATGAATTGGTGTTCATTTATCAGAAGTCGTTGGGGCAAGTAATTTGATGGAAACTCATTTGTTTCTATTACGGAATGCAATTATATTTGTTAGATGTACTTTTGATTAAAATGTAACATATATCAAATCTAATACAAACTTAATAAAGTATTTTTAAATATATAATGAATTTCTTTTTTCTTTTACATGATTTCGAATACTTTATTGATTTTTTTTCACTTTTTTCCTTTAAATCTTTGAAAAATTGTTGACAATTATGTACGGTAAACAGGCAAGAAATTACCGTGTAAACGCGAAATAACGCTCGTGGGTAGCGTTGGTGGTGGAATAAATTTGGTAAATTAATACGGTTACTGCATGTGCCGTATTATTTTCCGTAATTATTTTGTGCCGTAATGCCGTTATATTGAATACCATAATGCTGTATCTAAGAGGAGTGTCGTTTATTACGTAATTTCTTTTTTGTTATAACGTCATACCCTTCCCCTCTGTGATCGAATTAGCAACCAATTATAATTTTTATAGACGTGAAGGATGGACCCTCCCACCTTCTTGAAATTGCGCAATAAACGGCACTCCCTTAAATATTATAATGCTATTGCAGTATTGTGTTAAAGCTGCAATAACATAGGATAACATTCCGCTAGCGTTGTATTTTAAAGTAATTTTTATCACAGTAAAATAAAACTGGTGTTTCATTATTCACATTTTTTATATTTTAAAGTGATCTAATTTGATTAAGGTTTGAATTGAGCTGATCAGTGATTATTACGTAATTAGTTTTTTTTAAATATGAGTGCCGTCAAGGGAAAACCCACATGCTGGCTTTCAATTATATTTTGTGCGTCTATCATCATGATAGATTTTTCATAGACGACTAACTACGCACAAAATATAATTGAAAGCCAGCATGTGGGTTTTTCCTTGATGGCACTCATATATAAAATTTTTTTGGCTTTACTGTGAATGAAATTAAGAAATTATAATGTCTGTAATATACACTACTGTCAAGAGAAAATTATTTTATTGTGAAAACTATTTATTGTTAAAATTGTAATTTTGTCACGTTTCATCACAGTTGAATCAGAGTATCACTTAAAAAAAAATGACTTGTAAAAATTAAAGCTATTAAAACCCATTATAATTAGAGCAATATTATGTTTAGCAATTCTTGAATATGTGCCAGGTTTAGAGATAGGCAAGTTTAGTAAAGTATTATTATTTATAATTTCTGATAATGAATGAAGAATTATGGTATAAGCAAAAACTTAGCCTAATCAGCAAATTATTGATTTTAAAATTTGCCTTATTTTATTTTATTTTTATTATTATTACTACTTTTACTTTCTTTTTTTCAGAAACCCTTTTTTTATTAGAAAGAGTTTGATTAGGAAGTAGTTGGTAAAATAGACCCATCTCATCTGCATTGTATATATTTTCAGGGCTATATTGAGATAGAAGTTCTTGTAATTTTATTCGTTCAGTAGGCAAGCTTGCTAGGGGTGTACTTGCTGCCTTTCCATGCATTATAATTTTTTTTAACCCATTACGTTTCTTAAATCTAGCGATCCACCTGTTTGAAAATGTAAGTGATTCTTCAAATACGGAAAGTGCTTGTGCAAATTGGCAGCCTTTTTCTTTTATTAATGACTCTGATAGAATCATTTCTTCTGTTGTA